GTGCGGTCCTAACTCTAAACTAGGAGAGTCTCCATCTTGGAGCACATGTGGCAAAAGATAAAATTGGGTTCAGGTTTGTCAGGAGGAAGCCCAACCTCTCTTAAAGGCACAGGGATGCACACGGGATCCCGCACATCACAAGGCAGCTGAGACACCCTTAGGCCCTTCCATGTGCACCTTGCTGTAAAGCTGGTAACAAATTGATGAGTGCGTTTGCCATTTGTTTTGCCTGCCTGTGGGGAGGCCATGCTGGATTGCCTAAGCTGACTAGGCCTCAAAGCCTGGTGACTAGCTATATAATCACCCTGGAGCTTGGTGGCAACAGGTCCAGTGGTTGCTGCTGCTAAAGACACGGATCAGCAACTTCTACATCAAGCAATGCAGTGTCAGGTGTTTGACCTGCGGTGCATGGAAGCATTAACCACACTCTGTAAAGTAATGGAGTCTACCTCTGCCTGGATGATCCTAACCCTCCTCTACCTCTCTCCTTGAAGTTCTACAATAAACGTTCCAAGCATCATAACTGCACTCTGGACCTCACTTCAATCGATTACTCAAAAGGGCAGTAAGTGCTGGTGGGCAATAGCAAGTGAATGTATCCCTAGGAAAGAAGAATCTGAGCTGCCGCAACCCATAGCAAGTGACCCAAGTAACTCAAGGCTTGCTGGTGTGCTGTGGGTCCATAATAGAGGTTTCTTATAGAGGAAAGACAGGGAGACCCGTTATTTCACTTTACTGTAGATCACCCCTCCAGACCCACCGGTAGTGTTATCCTGTGCCGGGATAGGGCTGACCGAGGAAGGGGGACGCTACATATATATATTTGTGTGCAGAGGGCTGGTGGGGCCATGTGTCCATTGGCCATGGGGCCATTATTCCAGTATCCATCATCTAATTGTTTTTAATTCAGTTTGGCATTGCTACATCACTGTTTCAGCACCAAACTGCCCACAATTAACATCAGCATGGAGTGGGAGGCGGTGGTGCTATGTTATTTGGGTTGATTCCAAAGAAATCTTTGATTGCTCAGTAGGTGGAGTCTGTTGTATTGGTGGGTTGCTCAACTGAACTGAACTGAAGTTGCTCAACTGTTGAGAGGGACTGTCACTAGAATGGATTCTTTTCTGGTAGGTTTGGGTGTCAAGTGTGAGGAGCACTGCAAAAAGTAGTCAAGATTCTTAGAACTTTAAGGAATTCATTACTTTATAGGAAATATTGAACAAGGGTTCAGCCAACAGGATTTGAGGGGTTACGGGGCTCACCAATGGCCCACAATGATTTTGGGACTCTTTTTATTCTTTCCTTGAATGTATGCTAGGACCTCATTAAGACGTGGTCTTTGGATTTTGCAATTTGGTCTTTGGTTGTCTTTGGACGTGGCAATTTCTACATCAGCAGACAGCAGCATACTTGGACTTTTCTTGGGCCTGGGGTACTGATGTCATTATGGTTTGCTGTGTGATGATTGTCATGGATTTATGTATCATGAAGGACCTTCACATACACAGGAATATTATACTGGTGCCCCCTGTTCTCCTCAAGCACAGGAGATACGGCTTCATGGGCCCCGTTCATGATCACTAGCTTGGAAGTGTGCCCACTTGAAGAAATTCCTTTTTAGCCAATTGGCAAAAGGCAATTGGTCAGAATGCTCAGGCCCAGCAATGCACGGAGCACACAGAAAGAGTCCTTTCCCTGTGCATAACTGTTGCAGCAGCATCTAGCAGATGTACGATGAGTTTGTCTCATTGCCTTTGTTACCTGCCATTTTATTGACTGTGTCTATGTAGTTTGCAACACAAGTTGCAACAGCACACCTGCAACATTACTGCAAACCTATTCAATGTTATGGTTGTTACATAGGCTTCCTCAACCATAGTTACATAGTATTTGGGGTTGAATAAAGACATACGTCCATCATGTCCAACCCATAGAGGTCCACGCATCGTCTCATTCTTAGGGATACTGGTATCCCTGGATATTACGGTCCCTCAAGAAATTGTCCAAACGTTTCTTGAACAAATCTACACTCTTGGCTGAAATCACTGCCGATGGCAGTGAGTTCCAGACCTTAACCACCTCTATATAATGGCCCTCTGGCCTGGGGATGGGTCACTGAGGCACAGAGCCATGTAGGTTATGGAGGAGATGTGCCTACTCCCTTACCCTGGGCACCTGGTTCTTTCAGGGTTCTTCAGGAACACTTTGAAAAGTTTTGTAGTAGTGCTGTAGCTAATATACAGTAGATAAATACTCTACAGTCTCCTTTTATGTTAAAGCACTTGTCTTGTATACACGTTTGCTTTTACTCTACAGATGTGGTAGTTGGATGTGAAGGTGTAATCCACTCAATCATTCTTCCCACAAATCCCTTCATGAACGTTCAGATCACCCAAACATGCATTTTGTTGCCTAGGTCTTCTGGGTTGTCAGACAGGGGTTTGCTATTGCGTTAGGGTTGTATTTTAATGCAGCAACATACATTTAATGCTGGATTTAGGTCTGCATTAAAATAGAACCGTAGTCTGCTATTGCAGATGTCTACGGTATTGGTCATCTCACATCTATGGCTTCCTGTGTTTATAAAATTGGTCAGCAGCACCTTGGTCAGCACATTGTCTCTACCTTCTAGTCAGCTGTCTCTTTTCTCTTCCTTTCTTGTTTGTCTTTGTATTCTCTCCAGTCAGCTCTCTCTGCTTCACTAGTTAGCTCTTCTGTTACCTCCGGTCATCTGTCTCTTCCTCACTAGTTAGTCCTTCTAACTTTTTTCCCTATAGTCAGCTCTTCTTCACAATTTTTTTTCTAATTTTTTCCTTTATTCTCTCTTTTATCTGCTGTCTGTGTCTCTCTCCTATCACTCTGTCCTCTCCAGACTCTCATTTTCTCTCTGTCATGTCCTCTGTCCACTGTCTGTCTCTCTCATCTCACTCTACCCTTTCTAGACTCTCTCTCTCTCATGAGTTGTGAATTTCTTTCCTCTGTTCGCTGTCTGTCTCTCTTCTACCACTCTACCTCTCCAGTCTCCAGACTCTCCCGCTCCCACTGTCTGTCTCTCTCATCTCACTCTACCCTTTCTAGACTCTCTCTCTCTCATGAGTTGTGAATTTCTTTCCTCTGTTCGCTGTCTGTCTCTCTCATATCACTCTACCCTCTGTAGACTCTCTCTCTCATGAGTTGTGTCTTGCTCTTCTCTGTCCTCTGTCTCTATCCTATCACTCTACCCTCTCTAGGTCTCTAGATTCTCTCTAGTCTCTCTCTCTCATGAGCTGTGTCTCCTCTGTCCTCTGTCTCTCTCCTATCACTCTACTCTTTCTAGACTCTCTCTCTAGTCTCTCTCTCTCTCATGAGCTGTGTCTTGCTCTCCTCTGTCCTCTGTCTCTCTCCTATCACTCTACTCTCTCTAGATTCTCTCTAGTCTCTCTCTAGTGGGCTGTGTCTTGCTCTCCTCTGTCCTCTTGTCTCTTTCCTATCACTCTACCCTCTCTAGTCTCTCTCTCTCATGAGCTGTGTCTTGCTCTCCTCTGCCCGCTGTCTCTCCCTCTCTGGCATGCACCTTTCCTCTCCCCAGGCAGCGCTGTCTCTCTCTCTTCTCACTCCTGGTTATTAACGCTCTTTTGATAGGCAATTATTTGGTGCTCTATATTTTTGCGACTCGTGCGAGACTCTGATTTATGAACATGTCTGTGAGTTTCTGCACCCCCTTCCACTCGCACAACATCACTCTGTTAACCCTTCCTCTGCCAGGCGCTTGCATAGAGTCTTCCAGTACCTGTCTGAGCACGGTGGGCTCCATGTACTTTCAGGACGATGAGGCTTAATATGGACCCCGAAGTATCTAATCTGCCATTTTAGGAGGCTGAATTATAAAAGGCAGGTTAGATAAAATTAGCTGGTGGTGGTGGTGTTGGGGGGGTTGACTATAGTAACTATTCAGGCTTTCAATCTGTAACCTGAACACGTAAACAGCAACAACTCCATTATTTTTCCTTTTTTAACTCTTATTTCCCCTCATTATTCATGAACTCTGACCCCTGTTAATAATGGTACACAACCATTAAACACAACACCCACTTTCTGCACCTTGGCTGTACTCGGTTTCTGAAAGCTGATTTCTGATTGGACGCTATGGGTTACACCACGCCACCGGTCATATGCAGCATGCAAAAAAATAGAGTGAAATGACCTGCTTATAAAAACGTTCAATCAGCAAAGCGAAGAAACTCATACCAACCAATCAGAAAATCATCTTTCCTTGTTTAGATTATACTGAACGTCTTAAAGTTGATTGGCTGCTACGTTTAACTGTAAATTATTGTTTTGTAGCCTTTATAATTATGGGAAATAAGCAGTAATGCAATGCAATGAGCGGCAGTGAAGACCATACATCATCCATCTATAGTCCATGAGCACTGAGTCAATGAAAGGGGACATGTAACTGGTTGCACCTCATTGCTCTTTGCACCCCATTGCTATAGAAGTTTTAGTTATCTATAAAGAATATAAAAAGCTTCTACATTTTGTGAGGCTTGATCGTTCCATTATATGAAAGAATATACCCAGCAGAAATGGTACAATGTAGCCGAGCATAGGACATAGGACACTATGGTACAGGATTTTATAGGGTTATAAGACATAGATTGGGTGGGCTGTAGTCCCATACTTACCTTCCTTTAAATTCACATTCTGTGTACTTCTCCCCGTTCCCCTCTTATTCCTCCTCCGCTTTCCCCCCTCCCCTCCCTGTCTCTGTGGTATCCCTCTCTGACATAGCTCCAGACAGCTGTTAAACGACTTAATCTCTTAAAAATAGTTTTAATTTTCTGCCTCCTATTGATCGCCGGCTCCCATTTACACTTCTCCATAGAATAGACTATGAGAAAACCTATGGATGGTGACTTCCTTTAACCCCTTCCCTGCCAGAGACCCCAGTATCACCGTAATAACCCCAGCTGCTCAATGAACACGATGTTCTAACGTCTCTTACAATGTTTGTCTTTCAGGCTCTTGGCTCTGTCTATTTTATACACAGCTCTCTACGTACTGTTCAGATCTATGACTTCAAAGGTAAAGTATAGAGGTTGGCATTGCAAGTGTGTTGCACCATATGCTTTTCTTTATTGTATATAATGGGCACACAGCTTATAATTGAGACTGGCATAATGTTTTATGTATTATAGATAGACAAGCACATCCACCTTGTACATATCTGTTACAGGATAATTGGAATTTATAAGAATAAACTGGAACAGTGACTACGAGTCGGGTCTTCTCACCCAGTTTCATTACCTGTTGTCAGACACACTCTAAAATTCTCTGGAAGGCCTTCAACTGCAGAAGCTACCTGCCAGGAGAATGGGGCTATGTGGGTGGTGGGAATTGGGGGTTGCACCATGGTAGGGGTGCTGCAAGTAGCTGGTCTACCCTCCTAGGGTGCAAAATAGTCTAGCAGCGGCCCTGCAGCGATGCTTATACTACAGTCTGTACTGCACACTGCCAGTTTCTGATCTGTCATAGGTCAGATGTTGGCAGTGTGCACTATACTTTTGGAGAGACCAATAGAGCTGTACAGGGCTTCTTACCTTCTATTCTTGCACCTTGTAGAATAAAAAGGCATATGCAGTTTTGGATACATACAGTGCATATTGCATAATTATTTGACATTTGTGCATGATTAAACAAATTGCGCATCCTTTGCTTGGGCTGTCCCTGTTGGAAACTTTGTGCTGTGCTTTTACAGTACTTTTTAGTGGGGTACCAGTAGCCACCTTTTAACAGCCTATTCTGTCTGTTAGTCACAGTGAAGGACCAGATTTGTGTGAGGAGGAGGCGGTGATTGGCTGCCACTAATAATTAGAGCTTCTGCTTCAAAAAGTTGTGGCAGCTTTTGGGACTCTGGGAAGACCCCTCTCTGGAACAGGAATATTTAAAAGGGTCAGGAAGCCTTTTTTTGGGTGGACCAGCAGAGAAAAACTCAATTTGCAACTTTAAGTCTGTATTAAAGTAGAACCCTAGTAGAAAGGTTAGAGCTTTTGGCAGGTTTATGGTTGCTGTGCCCCCTTTGGGTGAGCTCTCCCTTCACTTCCCATTTCAAAGACATGACAAGCAATGAGTCATATTCTCTCATAAGTGAGGAGAAATATCACCTTCAACACGGGAACGGGTATCTCCATTTGAAAATGTCCCCTCTGCTAATGTTCCAGAGACAACCATAAAGACTTGGTTCTACCTGCACATTCTATGCAGGTGACAATGGACACTTTGATAAATTGTAAGGATGGATTCGCCAAATGAGGTTACAGAGCTCAGTACAAACCAAACAGAGGTTCTAACAGTTTTAGCTGGAGATCTACTTTCACCTCAACTATATCTGATGCTAAGTCAACCTTAAGGCTGTAGGGTATCTTGGAGACTTGGAAAGGCACTATGGAACCTCAGTTGTCCTACCATTACTGCTAAATTGTTACCATTACACATAGTCCCTTTATATATGCAGATTGTATGTAGTAGGTCCATAAATCCAGACATTGTATCCATAGATGTAGAAAGGTAGCTTGTTGCAGAGTTGCTGATGTTCAAGGATATTAAAGGGCAAAGAAAACAGCTTCTAGAGTGAAATATGAAGGGAGACAACACTGCTAAAACCTGGTCACAATGATCACACCCCATAGTTAATTTAGCATTGTCTCTGATCCTGAAATGTGGCGCCGGTCTTAGGTAACGCTTCCACAATCTAGCCTACTAGGTCTACATATTGGAATACAACACTTCCAAAATACAAAAAAACCTTCAGCCCCTTTCTCTCCTTTCTTTTGCCTTAATAGGATTTTGCTCACTGCTGAATCACCAGTGCTTTTCAAAAATATTTAGGGTGTTCTCAGTTCATATCTCTACCTAGTAGCCTCATGACCAAAGGTATCTCCAGGAAGAACTGCCTGTGGTGACCACGGAAATCAAAGTTTGCTTAATTTTTGAAACCTGCGCTAGAATTCTGAAAATAAACCAGCTGATTGGTTGTTGTCACTCTGGATCGTTACAGAATATTGTTTTCACCTTTCCTTTTTTCTTGTCTCTTAGACAGGAAGTTCATCCCTCTGTCTGGACAGACTGTATGCATGGGCTCTCTTGAAGACTGCCACATTGTGCACAAGGAGAGATTCCCGCAGGACTTCTGGCCCGAGGTAAGTAACTACAGTGTTTCCCCGAAAATAAGACACTGTCTTATATTATTTTTGGCTCAATAAAACACACTAGGTCTTATTTTCGGGGTAGGTCTTATTTTTTTTTTTTTATGTATAACAAACCAAAGTTAATGCAAATCAAAATTAAATAATCCAAAATGGCAAAGTTAAGAATAGAGTGATCAGGGTAATCAGGGGTGCCGTACCTTTCCAAGAACAATTTGGTAACCAGAATGAGGGAAGCGCACTTTCACTATCGATTCCTCACAGGCAGAGTGCATTTGGTATCAGCCTGTGACAGGAGCGGCGCTATAGAGGCTCATGCGGCTCTGCTCCCTTCGCTGCCGCCTCGCTTCCTCTAGCACTGGCTTAGTTGGCACTGCTGATTCTCTCCTGCAGCTCTTCAAGTTCCCCCTTATGCCACCACCGTGCCCTGGGAAAGGTCACAACTGGGTCTTATTTTCGGGGTAGGTCTTATATTTTAGCAATTCCCAAAAATGGTACTAGGTCCTAATTTCGGGGTAGGTCTTATTTTCGGGGAAACAGGGTATGTAACTCCCCATGAATGCCAAGGCAAGTTTGTTGAGGCTTTGAGTGAAATAGCTTTTTCCAGGTTCACATAATTGAGACTTCCCTTGATGCCTATACTTACTTTCCTTTCACCCCCACTGGCACTCCATTCAGCTTTTGGGAGAAGAAGGAAACCTTGTGCAAGGCCTGAGTTGCAACTCACACAGGGCTATGGACTCGTATGACTTTTCTGATTGGTCCAGGGCTGTCATATGGGTTAGTCGCATGTTCCTCCATACTCAGGAGTACTGGGTATGTCCTTCCCCTCCTGGTGCTGGATGGAACAGTGGGGGAGTGAAAGATATGTACTGATGGGGATGATAGGTGTTATGCAGAGGTGGGGGAGTTTTAAATAAACTTGTTGGTTTAAACAGTGTACAGAATGCCAGGTTGCCATTGAAGTTTTTGACAGTTTTAGAAAATTACAGCAGCGGCAGATGGAAATGGAAATTACAAAATGGCATGTGTGGCTTTTTTATGCTTTAGTGGCATTTTACTTTATGGCTGAACTCCAGGCAACTACTAAAAGACCACCATTTAGGTCAGCGTTGGTCTCCTTAAAAATGGGACATGTTTAAAAATATAACTAGCAATAGTACTTGAGTGTATCTTTATATTATCTCCCTGTAAAACAGGACTGGGAGAGGCAGGGCCAACACTGCGATACTCCCACTACATGACACGGTACTGCCAGTCTAACTCTAGGAGCTTGCTGACAAGAGAAGAGACCAGAATAATGACCTCATCAGTGTGGTTATACCATTACACTTTGTTGAAGAGTCAGTGATCAAGTTGCAACGCTTAACCACAGCAGAGAAATTCAAGGTCACTGTACAGTCTGGCAGCCGGATACTTGCATTATGAGACTGGCTGAGCAGAATTACAAATGTTGTGCCAGGTAGAATAGTTTATATACTGTATGCGTATTGCAATTGTGAAATAAACACTGATCAGCTTTAACATTTTTTTTTTTAGATCATGAACTAATTAATTAGTTTATTTCACAGCTTGTGTAGGATCAGAACATCTGTAGCCTTCTCCTGGTTCTGAGCCCCCAGCCATGACATGTTTTGGAGGAGAGTGGCCACACACAAGAACATATTTGTGCACGTGCACCTGTCAGCAGCATGGAGACACTATGAACATACAATATATAGAATAATGGTTTATATTATATGGTCAGCTTATATACACATTAATAGTCTTCATTTCTCCTTTAGTTTCCCTGGACTCGCAAGGGATTCATGACAACACGTTGGCTAGTCCACAACCGGTATGTATGGCACCGTCCCCGAGTAATGGCTTTGTCACATGCTCTTCTAACATGTGCAGCTAATAACAGCCAAGTGCTCCATATCACAAGGCTTGGAGCTGTATGATTTTGCTGTGTGCTGGCAATCGCTGTGATAAATGTGTTTGTATTCGACTCATATCTCCAGTAATGAGCAACCCTTGATCCCAGCACTTCCCTGAGGCTTGCTCTACTTTAGACTTGTCACCCTGTGCTTTCGATGTAGTTGTGCCGTCTCTCTCTTATGCAAGTTCTGGGTGACAGTGGTATGCTACATGCTAATAGCCCACCATGGTCAGTAGACTTGTCACCCTGTGCTTTTCCTGTAGTCATAAGCAGCCTCTGTCTTATACAAGTTCTGGGTGACAGTGGTATGCTACATGCTAATAGCCCACCGTGGTCTTCAGACATGTCGTCCTGTGCTTTCCATGTAGTCATACCATGCAGCCTCTGTCCTATACAAGTTCTGGGTGACTATGGTGGGCTACATTCTAACAGCCCACCATGGTCTTCAGATATGTCACCATGTGCTTTTCCTGTAGTCATACCATGACTCTCTCTTATACAAGTTCTGGCTGACCATGGTGGGCTATATTTTCCTATCCTCACATTAGAACCCAACAGATTCCACAGAACACATTTTCCATAAGAACATTTAAATCTAGCAATCTCCTTATTTGGTCTATCAACATCCATGGTCTTCCAGAGCAGTATTGTAAAGGATGAATTTAGTAACACCAGCTCAGCAGCAAACAGTGCCTGGAAATTATCATAAGATGTTGGCCATTGCACAGTCCATCCATTATTTTTAGGATTTACCCCTACCTACTCTGGCAACTGCATAATTGTATTTTATTATGTTTTAGGATGTTTGATCTCGTGAACCTTCACCTGTTCCATGATGCCTCCAATCTTCTTTCATCTGACTGCTCGCCCTCTCTATTTAGCTCCAACCGTAGGAGAGCCTTGACTCATGTTCTCACTAGGTAACATAAAGTGCCTGAAAACAGAACTGGTCTTGTTGTTTCTCAATCATAATGATTAGATTATCATGTTACTGTTGTAGTACACTCTGGGAGGTCTACAAATGAATTATGGTTCCTCTTTACAGATTCTCCACTATAAGCTAGTGCACCCGTGTCACCGAGAAAGATATCACACATGGCAGCAGTATTTGAGATTTTAAGCCTTTATATAGGAAGGAGTTTAAATTATGATACTTTTCTTCAATTTAAAACGTGCCCAATGCTTATGATGGGGTTTTAGTGATGCTTTAGTAATTTGGAGGGAAGGACAGTGAGGCACATCAGTTCTAAGCACTTGTAGTTTTTCACTTGGATACTGAGGGCTGTTAATCCTGCAGCTCACTTAATTGTACCTACTGTAAGTTACACAGGGTTCCTAACACTAAAGCACCATTTGAAACTTAAAGTGACACTAAACGCAGGAGTTAAACCTTAAAAATACATTCAAGTACCTTAACTATTAATAAAAATGTCTCTTATTTGTGTATCACTCGGCTGTAGATCCTCAAATCATCTCTGAATTGGTGCTGACACTGTCCTTCCTTCTGGAGGGGGACTGCTTTTATTCCCCATGGTCCCCGTGTGTGTTGTAAAGTAGTCACCGCTCCAAGCTCACCCCTGGGATGGACTACAATCTCAATATAAATTAGTAAACTTAACCTAGTGTTGTAGTTCGTCATGGGAGAGCTCGGAGCACTTGCTACTTAACAACACACACACGGTCCATGGGAAGTTTAGTTCCACTGTAACCCTTCCCGCTGCCTGAACCTCTAGCACTGTAAAATGTATTCCCTTTGAAAGATTTCCCATTTATTCTTTTTGGTAATTGTGGAATATTTGCTCTCCAATGATTTTGATCCAGATTGCCAACAGTGACCGTTGGGACAAATAGAAAGAGTGCATCTCCCCAAAGGGGCATGGACAACTGTTTAGATGTTCCAAGCCGTCCCAACTCTATCCAACATTGAAAAAAAGAATCTTATAGCTATACATTACCCCTTAATCCCTAACCCTAACGGCTAAATCTACCCCTGAAGTTCACATTAACATACAATAGTCTCCTCCCCCAATCTTAATCTCCTTTGACTCTAAAACTTAAACAAAACCCCCTCATCCTTGACGCTAGCTATAACCTAACCACTAAAGTAAGCCCAAACACTAAGCAAAGCCCTTGGCCTTTATGTCCACTTTATACTCGCCTCCCTGTGCTTAGAGCAACCATACCAAATCTTGAAAGCACTAAGATTGAAACATAAATGGAAAAGCTGGTGTACAGTATATTCTTCAGTCATACCGGCTGTCACAAAGTGGTATCTGATTAAAGCAAAGGGCAGCCAAAACATGGATTATTCAAGTAGGGGTGATATTTGGCCATTTCAGTGTTTCCCGTTGGCTTGCTTCCACGTTATGGCAACACCTAAGCAAGGTCTCCCCTTTGAGATACTTGTTGCGTCCCACCCATCATGGCTGTGGCAGACATTGTTTAGCATTCTTGTAGAGCAGTAGTGTTATCTATGTCACCTTTCATAGGAATATATGAAAAGAACCGATCAGGTCAATGGCACTACTGGGCAGGTGACTCAATGTAAAGCTAAGTAAGGCTTGTCAAGGATACAAAAAAAAGTCCTGAAGGGTTGGACTTCCATCTATAGAGGGACCTAAGGACCTCAAAACTGATCAAAATGGCAGGAGACTGTATGGTCTAGAATGCTCTGAAAATCGAATAATCAGATTTGGGTGTCTCCATATATTGGAGAGAATAACCAGAAGCCTTTTAAATCATGTATAGACATCACTAAGGCACATGGCTTGACAAATCCTGTGCCTATGGTGCCCACCTACTGCAAAATGGCAGCAACCATACTGCCCCTGTAATGGGAACTCCAGTTTAAACAGAAATGTCTCTATAGTTTCTAATGCCAGTGCTGTTTAGATCATAATATATAACCTCTTTACAATTCTGTTCTAGTTTTTCAACCACTTTGTGCTAGTTTTATGAAAATTATCTGATCTCCTAAACAAAGCACCCAAAATAAGCTATCTGCATTGAAAATTAAATAGTGGGGGCAGTTCTGTGACTTTGCCCACCCCCAACATTGCATCAACATGGATGACACATGAAGCCTTGAAAGGCAACCCCTGTTGTTTAATGAGAGCAGATCTGATCTGCAGGGTCCCGGTATTTTTTAGTTCTACATAAGATGTATGTCTCTTGGAGTGAAGTGATAATGGTTCCTCTATGTCAGTCTTCTGTTCATGGCTTCAAACTTATTTCATCTCTTTCTCAGGTTACAGGACAGCTGCGCCTGCAATGCACCATTTTTCCTGTTTGGAGATTTTAATTTCCGTTTGGATTTAAAAAGCCTCATCCAGGTGTGTTTATTAGTCTGTATATTATATTTCTGTACACAGTGTTCTGTGCGGGGAAATCAACCGTCACATCTTATGTTCCTTTCTGCAGGCTCAGGGCTGGTCCCCAAGTGTCACCGGAGAGACGGGCAAACAGACCGTAGTCTATGAGCAAGATGGAGAGGTGATTCCTGCTGACTCATTGATCCAATTATTACCATTTTTCTAACAAAGTCCTACATCTGTCCCACGTTCTTCTACAAACCGCGCTGACCTCTTCAACTTGTAGCTGTACTTTGCTGGTCTGTGTATACAAGCTGACATCTTTGCTGTTGCAGTCTGCTGCCTTTTTCTTCCTCCGTCTGCTCTGTTCATAAGTTCTTTTGTTAAAGTGTAAGTGAAGGAAAATAATCAAATCCACATTTGAAATACGTATACATCAATCAGCCATAACATTATGACCACCCACCTAATATTGAGTAGATCCCGCTTTTGCTGTCAAAACAGCCCAGACCCACTCAGGCATGGACTCCACTAGACCTCTGAAGGTATGCTGTGGTATGTGGCATCAAGCCGTCATTAGCAGATCCATTAAGTCCTGTAAGATGTGAGGTGAGGTCTCCATCTCTCCCCATGTGACTGAATTAACCTTGGCCGCCCATGACCCTGTCGCTGGTTCACCAGTACACCAGTTTTCCATCCTTGGACAACTTTTGGTCGGTCCTGACCAGTGCAGACCGATAACATCCTGCAAAAGCTGCAGTTTTGGAGTTGCTCTGACCCAGTCGTCTAGACATCACAATTTGGCCCTTGTCAAAGTCGCTCAAATCCTTACACTTGTCCATTTTTTCTGCTTCCAACACATAAACTTCAGGGACAAAATGTTAATTTGCTGCCAAATATATCCCCCCCCCCTCCAGGTGTCATTGTAATATATCCCCCCCCTCCAGGTGTCATTGTAATATATCCCCCCACTTCCAGGTACAATTGTAATATATCCCCCACTTCCAGGTACCATTGTAATATATCCCCCCCACTTCCAGGTGCCATTGTAATATACCCCCACCCCCCACTTCCATTGTGTCATTGTAACCAGATAATTAATGTTATTCACTTTACCCCTCAGTGGTCAGAATTGTATGGGTGATCGGTGTATATTGGTGTTGGCGTATATTGTATGTTCACTGTTTTATTTGCTAAAGGATTTCTGCTTCTGTTCACCAAGTCTGGTGGTGCCCACACATCTTGCTAAACTCATGACAGGGTAAGGCACAGCCGTCCTATGACCCAACCACCCACTGCTGACTACAACCCTTAACCCCTCCATGACCCATGCCCACCTTAAATAATGGACCACACCAGGTTGGATATAAAATGGCTGTAGCAGCCGTTTATTATAAAATATCTTTAAATATATAATTTCCGTTCAAACATTAATTATCACCATAAACAACAATTTCTCTGTAACCTATTCTTTGGCGTGAGGTCTGCGCAGGCACCACTTACTCAACCACCGAAGATCTCTGCTTACCCCCTTAAACCACTGGCCCCTAGCCGCAACCCACCGACTCAGGGACAACATTGGGAAGTAACAGCAGAGACCTCCTACACCTATTTCTGACCTCTCTCTCTGCTGAACCCGCCAGAGAACAAACGGGGCCGCGCACCACGGACGCAGCCCACAGCCACCGTAGCCCGCCATGCGCAGACCTAACCAACGCCACCGAGATCCAGCCTCTGAAAGACAAGCAAGTGAATTAAAACAAGCAGTAAACAAACAAACAAAAAAAAACAAAACAAAAAAAAACGTTAGGGAGGGAGGGCGGGAAGTGAACTGACCTTGTGCTGACTCCCAACTGCCTGGATCACCCCTCCTCCTGCTCTAACCACCCTGGATGCTCCTCCTGGACCACTTGACCCAGCCAATCACGGTAAGTGACACCCGAGCACCTTCCTTAGGCTAACTTAACCCTTTCTCTACCTGACTGCCTGCCCACCCTGTCATGCCGTCCTTTCGCCTATTCTTTTGCCTTTTGCTCCAGGACTTTCTGTACATGTCAGCAGTTGCTGTACACTGCACTAGTGTATGGTTCAAAAGAGCAGGACGTCTTTTCATTATCTTACCGTTTGCTTTCTTTCTTTTTTTTTAAAATAAATTCTTTATTTTATATTTTGAAAGCTTAGACGGTGATCACAAGAAGAGAAAAACAAGTGCATAAGTAGCAAATAGTTGCTCTCTCGGGTGGTCATAGAGAAAATACACTAAATGCATTACAATGTATGGGGTGTGGGGGGGGGGGGGGACTTCTATCCCTAAGTGAAACGACATCCTGTCAATAGCATGCCTAAGAGATGTCGTCTGCTTTCTTTCTGAAGCAGACACAGACTGAGTAGAAAGGCCTGTCCAGCAGCTGCAAAGTCTAGACAATAAAAGAGCAGTACCTGGCTGATGAGGTCATCCCTCTGCTCACTCTCAGCATGAGGTCATCCCTCTGCTCACTCTCAGATCACCCGATTGGCTACCAGTCCTGCCCCACCATTTCCCACTCTGAGTGCTGCAGTAGAGGGGATTGCAATAGGCTGATCTCAAGTGAAATTCAGGTACTTACACTGGTTGCGTTTAAGAAAATACTTTTAATGATTTCTAACAGGATATATACAGTATATATATATACATATCCCCTACTGTGCATTGATTTGTGTCCTGTATATCTGCTTGGAGCTCAGCTTTGGTGCTGAATATTTCTTCATCCACTGTTCCATCAATCACATTCACGCTGAACTCTTGTTCTTCTTATAACTGCAGTCGACTCCAGGCGACCCCATTGATAAATTTGATAGTGTTTCTCCAGAATAATTTGTCTTCTCTTTGGGTCTTAAGTTTTTGCAATGACGTGTTCATGATTTCTACGACTGTATTCTTCACTCGTAATACTGCCTGCTCTCTTTCTCCTTCCCCCTTAAACCTTTCTAAGCATTACTCTCTTTCCAGCGAGTTGGTTGCTTCTCATGACATGTTCAATAAAAAGCCTTCATCCTAGTCATCTGTGATTCTAGTGAAAGACAGGGTTTGGTTTGAGTTGATTGGGCTTGATTGAAGTATCTATTTGCTTGTTTTCCTTGATGCCATTGGTATTTGTAGAATTCTCAGCCAACATCAAAGGCATCAAAGCTTTTCCCATCTTGCTTCTTTATTGTCCAGCTTTCCCATCCATAGAGAGTGATACAAAATACCATACCCGGTACAATTCTGACCTTTTTACTATAAGCAGTGGTGATCAACTTTCTTGATATAATGGGTCTTATGTGTAGCCCTTGACATCACGAAATGGCTGCACATAATATTCATTGAATGTAATGCTACAGAAAAAGATTTCATAGAATGCAGACCTGCAACAGGGGAAAGAATACCGGCATGCTGCAACAGATGGTCAAAGACTAGGGGCATGCTGTAAGTGATGGTCAAAGATTACGTGCATTCTGCAAGAGATGGTCAAAGACTACAGGGATCCTGCAAGTGATGGTCAAAAACTATGGGCATGCAGCAAGAGATAGTCAAAGACTACAGGCAAGCTGCAAGAGATGGTCATAGACTATGGTCAAGCTGCAAGAGATGGTCATAGACTATAGGCAAGCTGCAAGATATGGTCATAGACTATGGGCAAGCAGCAAGAGATGGTCATAGACTATAGGCAAGCTGCAAGAGATGGTAAAAAAGACTCCGGGCAAGCTGCAGGAGATGGTCAAAGACTCTGGAGGATGGTGTAAGAGATAGTTGGAGACTATGGGCATGCTGCAAGAGATGGTCAAACAATGCAAAAATGTCATAGTTGTTGGAGAATTGGGACATGCTTCAAGACATACATGATGTGAACCTTCCTATACAGCCCCTTTACAAAGCCATGGCCCTACATGCTCTCTACAGCCCACTTAAAAGATCAGAGAAAATAACTCAAAACATAAAAGGAAAAAAAAAATCATATTTTCCTTAACTAATCTGAGTAAGCTCCTAGGTAAGAAAACACTGACTACTATCTGTAGGGCTGTCCGGTAAGTGCCGGTGGCCATATGCAGCCCTCGGCCACAGGTTGCACTCCAGGACCTTTTAGGCACATGAACTCTTTGTTGACCTCAAAGTCCTTCAGTTCTCACTGACTTTCTCTCTCCCATCATTGTCCTGTCTTGTCATCGTCTCTTCCTCCCTCTCTCGTCAGGTTCAGCTTGTCATGAAGTGTAAACGGTTTGAACATAAGAACGTGAAGATATTCCAGGATGACAGTGAACATATGGTGAGGCTCAGAAGCAGAATATAGAGAACTGTGTCCAGTCATATATACTTTTATATAGTTCTTCACTTTACCCAGCTGACTTTGTCCCCTAGCTGCTCCGCTTTGACCATGAGCCAGTCCCATTCCTCAATGAGCTGACCGAGGTCCAGATCTCCTTCCCACCAACGTAAGAAACCTTCCCCTGCAAATGTCTTCTATTATGTCAGTAAGTATGTGCGTTATTGGTCATTGGAACACTGAGCTTGTGCTGTGTTTACTTCCCAGTTACCCATTTAGTGAAAATGTCACAGAACCCGAAGAGTTCCTGAGTACGCGATGTCCAGCATGGTGTGACCGCGTCTTGATGTCTCACCCTGCCCAGGCTCTGCTGCAGAAGGTCAGTGATATATCTAGTTTCTATCTGTTGTCACCAGATCTCTTCCCCCTGCTCCTTCTCACTCTCCTCTCCTCTGCAGGCTAAGGAAGGAGAAAACTGCATTAAGTATCAGCGGATTGGAGGAGACGTCTGTATGGGCGATCACAAGGTGAGAGAAGGGGAACAATATGTGAATTATGGCATGTACAGAGCTGCGAAGACACTAATGGGCTCTTCCTCCATCTCTCTAGCCTGTGTACCTCTACTTCCAGATGGAATCTGCATTAGAATAGCCTGAAAATTGACAGGTAATACTTAAAGTGATAGTAAACCCTTTTAAAAAAAAGCAATTTAAAGGGGACCTTCACCCTCCCCACCCGCTTAATCTCATTGCCCTGTCTTTTTTATTATGATTATTATACAGGATTTCTCTAGCAACAGTTTGCGCAGCGCTTTACAATATAAGGAAGACATTACAATCACAATACAATTCAAGGCAAGATGGTAAGGAGGACCTTTTAGCAATTTAAAGGGGACCTTTACCTTGCCCACCCACTTAATCCCATTGCCCTCCTGACCCCTCCTTCCTCTCATAATGGGGCATTTATTTTTATTTGTCGCTCCCCCTAATACCTGTTCTCCTTGGGACCTGTCCCGGCACTTCCCGGATTCCGGCCTAGGTGAGAATTACATTCCATTGTTCTGGGATGCTGATATCACATATACCAGGAGAACTCAGGGTGCTCTACAGCGTATCATCAGGGTGCTGGCTATCTCAAGCTAATTCTTGCAGCCGGCCCCGTGACAATGCGCTGTGGTGCATGGACATCATGCGGGGGCCAGCTGCGAGAATCGGGACGAGGTAGCCCTGCGATGATCTAAGTAAACAAGATGGCGGCACTGGATGTGATGGCAGATTGCAGAAAGACAGCAAGTATGTAATTTTAGGATAAGAGTATGTAATTTTAGGATAACCCAGCGAACAAGGCAAGTGGAGATTTAAAATAGAATAATGGGGGGTGGGCGATGGGGGTGGAATTCACTCTTACCTATCAAGTCGGGTTATCTTCAAAAAATATACTTATACGTCTGGTGAATCTTCTTTTCTGATGCCATCAAGAGCCGGATATCTCTTCTTGGTTCAGACAGCTGGCCCCCTAATGACACGATGCCAGGTCTGCCCTCCTCCACTTGCTGTATTGAAGCTGATGCCTCCTGGTCTATCTATCAAATTTTTAGGGGCACACGTGTGTGCTGTTGCAATGACTGATGGGACATGTGGTCCCAAGGAGTGTAAAAAGCAAACTGTTGATGACATTAAACATGATGACCAAAATGCTCCATTGGAGGCAGCATGCTGTCTGCTTTCTATAAAGGATTATTTTTGAACTGTGTAGAGAAATGGAAGATGATGTCACATTTGCTGAAATATAAAGAGTCACGTGACTACTCTCGGCCTCCCCTGCACCAATTCCCACTCGAGTTCGCTTGCAGATTTTAGCTACAAATGTCCAGAGGTGGCCAGAGAAGGAAAGAAGATACATATTACATTCTACCCATCTTGCTCTGTATTTCCCATATTTACCAATCAGATCCAACTTCTCATATTCCCAGTGCAGTATTCTTGCCGTAAGCATTCCTTAGATCCTGAGTCACCCTGGCTGTGAAATGTCAGTCTTGGGTGAATCATCATATTCACCAACGAGAAAATGACCCCATATTATTTTCCCTTTACAGAGAGACAACTGGATCACACTACAGATAAAAGACACCGCCGGCCGCTGCACCGGAGAACTCCTCTTTCCATATCCGTTGCGCTCAGAGGGGACTTATTTCGGGATGTCTGTTACAATCATCGATATTTATTATATTGTTGTGTTTTATTTAAAATGCAATTTGCATAAAGTGCTTTTACTGTCATCATTGCTCCATGTGGGTTTTATTTAAAGGAGTTGAGAAGACACAGCATCTCCTCTCCTGTTACAACATCAGCATTGTAATAGGAATACATATATTCCCAGTGCAGTATTCTTGCCGTAAGCATTCCTTAGATCCTGAGTCACCCTGGCTGTGAAATGTCAGTCTTGGGTGAATCATCATATTCACCAACGAGAAAATGACCCCATATTATTTTCCCTTTACAGAGAGACAACTGGATCACACTACAGATAAAAGACACCGCCGGCCGCTGCACCGGAGAACTCCTCTTTCCATATCCGTTGCGCTCAGAGGGGACTTATTTCGGGATGTCTGTTACAATCATCGATATTTATTATATTGTTGTGTTTTATTTAAAATGCAATTTGCATAAAGTGCTTTTACTGTCATCATTGCTCCATGTGGGTTTTATTTAAAGGAGTTGAGAAGACACAGCATCTCCTCTCCTGTTACAACATCAGCATTGTAATAGGAATACATAGTAGAGTTGTTTCTGATAATACAATCAAAGCTTACATGAAAGCATCCCTTTTATGTAGGGAGCACTGCCTTCCGTCTGCCCATCACTTCCACCAACTTCCTGGATTGCCAGTGTGCTTTGTGTCTCTTTCCCTGCTGCTTGATGTCACGCAATCTCCATTTCCCAACACTACATATCCCATCATGCATTGCTTCCAGCAAGCAATGATAATGTTACATTGTGTGAAGTTCAGACAACAGGCATAGTTAGAGTGGTGACACCAGGAAGTGCATGTTCACTGTTCACGGGGCTGAGTGAAATGGTGTCATTACATTAAAGAAGTCCATCCTATGGGCATCTTCAATAAGTAAGTTTACAAACTTCTAGATGTATCTGGTCATTAGGAGTGCGGTACAATGTATGGAAATTCAATATAAAAATAAAGATTTATATTAGTTTTTGACTATTGATACGCTTTCAAGTTGAACTCCAGGGAAACAGTTAAAAGGTGTGAATGCAAAATATGTCAAACAATGCTCAAGGACAATAAGGACTATTAACATTTAGCCCCACTTTCATAAAACAAAAAACTATTTGGGTTATTGTTCATGTGACAGCTCGGCAAGTTGAGGGAGGAGCCTGGAGAACTCATGTGGCAGCTGCCGCCGGCATCATATATGGAGCTGAAATGAAATGCAGATAGTGTGGCTCCTGCAGCTGTCAATCAAATGGCAGAGGGCTGGATGGGGGTGTGGCAGCTGAATCGGTCTACAGGACTACAGGCACGCCATGTGTCTCCCAAGTCAGGAGATGAGACACAAACTGACCATGCCAGGCGGGATCTGCTTCCATGCCTAGCGTGGTCAGTTTGAAATTGCAACCAAAGGGACTGGTGACATCACCTGGTAGTAGTAAAAACATAGGCAATAAAAACATTGCAAGCTTCAATACTATGTGTATAGATATATATATACACACAAGTGAACACAAGGGGTTTTAGACAAAATAATGGAAGCACTCCAAGAGTGAGTCGTCTGGGTTTGTTCCGCGGTGTTCAGCAGTGGGACAAGGATCAGGTGTGGTGACAGCTTTTATAACCCGTGACAGATGGGCTGCCCAGGATGACCGAATGCTTCTTAATCTGCTGCTGTCAAAGCCGTTGTTTGCTTCTTGCTTTGGAGAACCGATAAAGAGAACATAGGAACATGTCCTACATATGTCAACACCGGCAGTATACACCGCAAACTCTCAATCACAACCTTTGTTATTTGTCTTTGTTTTTTAACAAAGATATCAGATCACCACGTCGTTGCTGGCAAAGTGATCAGTGCTAATCCGAATACTAACCCTGATGATAATCCTAATACTCATATTAACCCTGATGATAATCCTAATACTAACCCTGATGATAATCCTAATACTCATACTAACCCTGATGATAATACTAATACTAACCTTGATGATAACCCTAATACTAATCCTAACCCTAGTACTAACCCTAATGATAATCCTAATACTAACCCTAATGATAATACTAACCCTGATGATAACCCTAATACTAACCCTGATGATAACCCTAATACTAACCCTAGTGCTAACCCTAATAATAGCCCTAATACTAACCCTAGTGCTAACCCTAATAATAGCCCTAATACTAACCCTAGTGCTAACCCTAATAATAGCCCTAATACTAACCCTAGTGCTAACCCTAATAATAGCCCTAATACAAACCCTAGTGCTAATCCTAATGGTAACCCTTAAAGCTACCTTAAACTGTTGTTTCTCAACACACTCATGTGATCACCCTGTTAGTGCTGACATGGAGATCACATGAGTTTGTTGATAAACAAAGGGTTCAAATTATTGCCCCCATTCAAGTAAACTCCCAATTTCTCTTATTCCTTATCCTTTTAGCTTATAAGATCAGAATGATCGCCCATCAATGGTGTGATCAGGAGGGAAAGTCTTCTTGAATTGTGTTATACCTAGGTCCACCAAGGTTCCTCTGTTCTTCATGTTCCAGGATAGTTCAAAGGAGCTTCCCTAACCCTCGGTAGTCATTTAAAAGCCTCCTGTATGCATATACATAAACTTCTAATTTCCTTTAACTCTAATTCTCTTATAGCTTAGAAGATCGGAATGATCGTCCATCAAATAGTGCAATCAGGAGGAAAAACTCTTCTTGAATTGCGTCCTACCTGGGTCCACCACGGCCTATAGGCCCATTACTGCTTGCTTCCTCTCTTACCCCTTTGCATCACATTGATGTAAAAACAGGAGGAGCATCACCCTGAATAAAGGAACAGAAGCCCCACCTCAATGTCTCTTCACTGAAGGGTCAGATTGACAAGACTGGGGAGGTGTAATCTAGTTCAGGATGCGCTAAGGATGGTGGCTCAAAGTAGGTCCTAATAAAGTTTTCCTTGGCATCCTCATATCTAATGCAAGGCTATGGATGTAATGATGTCAGCGGGCCTCTGATTGGAGGGCGGAAGAGGTTTTGGATGTTGGTCTTTGAGACAGTGGAGGCAGTGGTAAGGTAAGTAAAACAGCTTTAAAGAATCCCTCCAGACGAAAATGAGCACTTAACCCTTGCAATGCGGGGGTAGCCCCACTGCAAGTCGAGGTTTTTTTTAGAGATAGGCTTTAAGGGCCTCATTTATAACAGTTCACACGGCACTAGCGCCCCTAGATGGCGCCGACAAGCATAGGAAATTCCTATACTCCTCAGCACCATCTAGAAAACCCCTAAGTAGACTGTATAGACTGTATAGTCTTACTTCATAGGAACAGGGCTTTCACCGTAATGAGGCAGCCTGGGGCTGTTGTCTCAGGCGGCATCTCTTTGAATCACGTGGGCCGAGCCTGCCGCCCCTTTTCTGGCCAGAGCGTCCCAGGTTGCTAAGATCC